ATACACATGAGAAGGAACAAACAAAATACCTGTACAATATCTCATACCTGTACATAACATACTGTCCTACATAAATTAAAAAGTACTTTTCCCTGGCAAATAGGTTGCTCAGTAACCAGGCTAAAGTAATGACTGCTTAAAAATATTCGGGCAATTCTGATGTGTCAGATGAAACAAAACAATGGTACTATAGGTAGTAAGAAAAATATCTCATTGGTTTATATGCAGTTTTCCTAGTAACTCCTTAAAATTTTAGATAAAATGTAACTTGATTTTATGTGCATTTGGAAGGATGTACTAGAACAGAAGTTCAACAAATTTTCTTTTTCTATTTGCATATAAATAGTTTATAAAACAAAAATATAAAAATTTATTTTGTGAATACAGCTTTTTCAACGGAACATAGCCTTTATAATACATACAGCTAACACTGTAAAAAGAAATCAATAAACTGCATAAAACACATATCTCAGGTAAATCATTCCACGAATGTATAACTTTAACCAAAAATAATTATGCCAAAAAAACATGCCTGTATCTACTGTAGGCTTATAAAGCTTAAATCTATTACCCCTAAGATTCAAGTAATTTCAGCCTTTTTATTCCAATACTCATAAAGTCAACCCATAGGAGGACTGTTCCAACTTCTAACAATTTTGAACCTCTTACTCAAGTCCTATCTATTTCTTCTGTTAGTCAAGTTAAATCCCTCCCATGCCAAGATGACTCTTCGGACTCTCGGTGCTGAATCCAACTTAACTGGCACAAGCAGAGGAGAATGGTGATACATTCTTCATGGACAGGATGCCAGTACCTAGCAGGTTAATTAATCCTCAGCTAACACCTGCACATCATTTACTCAAGGACAACAACATGACATGAGCAAGCTTCCAACTCGCAACCTTCTGACTATAAGTCCAAAGTATACTGCCCCGTATGCTCCAGAGAAAACTTATCCAACACTCTCAAGTCTCTCTTCATAGTTTAAATGACAAATCAAGTATCATTTTAGTAGCCCAGCCCACCTCTACACTCTTTCCAACATATTACTTTTCCTCCAAATGAGGATTCCCCACAGTCTCAGACAAGGCAATAATAATTTAAACTTCTTGTTTTTAAATTCAGTTTCAGAATCACAAACTCAAATTTCTCTTTTTTTAATTAAGCTAAATACTCGGTAGAGGATACAGAGGTTTTATCAACAATAATACCTAAATCCTTTACCATATTATCATGCTCTTCTGAGTCTTCTCACACAAAAAATAAACCCTTTTTAAATCTGAATACCCCAGGTTTATAACTTTACACTTTATAATATAAAACTAATCTTCCCTTATTCTGGCTCACTCACTAAACTGTTAGAGGTTTTTTTTAGAAAATGGAAACATTCTCAAATAGAATAATAAAATATTTCCAGTATTTTAATACTATTAGCAAATTTAGAATTATTACTTTCCATAAAGCTAATGAAATCTTTAACAGAAATAATAACCAACAAAAATCCTAAAACAGATACCTAAGTTGGAAAAATGACCATTTATAATCATTCTTTGCATTATCAATGAACACAAAACCAATTTCTAACCATTTCATAACTTTTTCATGACCCCTCAAAGTACCAATGTGCAATAAGTAACTGAGTTCTTATGACGCACATTATCAAACATTTTCTGAAAGTGAAGACAAACATAAACTGGATGTCTTAGTCCATAAATGAAATGTTCCTATAATAAATTCCAACAAGTAGATTTTGAATTTTTTTCTCTAAAACTAAATTAAAAATCACAAATTAAATACAATCCCTCCAAAGTATTTTTAAAATCAGATTCCAACAACATGCTAACAAGTCAAACTAACACATCTTTAACTCCCAGGAGTTTTCCCTACACCACTTCTTTATTAAGAATATTATCATATTAATTACAATATTCAAAACATCAGGAAATTCTCCAATGTCAACAGACTTCCAGCATTGTAATAACAGAAGTGGATGAAGTCTAAAAACACTAAATATTATATTAGGTACCCTAGGTATGAAAGAATGATATGACAGTCAAGTACAGACCTTATTAACAACCTTGCAAATACAGGTGTGAATGCAATCTCAAGAACAGTAAGATACATATTATGATGAAGTGATTTCAATGGATACATAGCTACATAAAAAATGCTGTTAACAACCTTGTAAATACAGGTGTGAATGCAATCTCAAGAACAGTAAGATACATATTATGATGAAGTGATTTCAATGGATACATAGCTACGTAAAAAATGCTTATTAACAACCTTGTAAATACAGGTGTGAATGCAATCTCAAGAACAGTAAGATACATATTATGATGAAGTGATTTCAATGGATACATAGCTACGTAAAAAATGCTGTTAACAACCTTGTAAATACAGGTGTGAATGCTATTAACAAGAGTAACAAAACCAAAAGACTGAAATAGGTATTGGAGCTCAAAAAGTGGAAAAAGTATAGCTCGATATATGTGCTCTTTAGAGATGAATCCAACTTTGAATTGTTTGGGATCATTCAATAACAGCTTATTTGTTAAAGAGAAGAACAGTATCATAACCAATGTAAAATTTTACAATGAGGTATGTGGGGAATCAGTACAAATTTGTGGTTTCATCTCTGTCAACAGCATCAGTGATCTACACAAAACTGATGGCGCCCTAACTGCTGACAAGTACATCATGCCATCTTTTCAGGAACACGATTCATTGGGCAGAGATTCATCTTGTGGAAAACAAAGATCCAATCCATATAGAAAATGTAGTGAAATGATATCTTCATGGTACAGAGACCAATGGAATACTGCTACTTTACAAAGTATTTAGATTATTTGGTAAGTTGGATGAATAATTGGTAGGTGGCTTTTGATTATAGTAAATGCAAGTAGTACATGTGGGTTCTAATAATTTAAATTTTAAGTATGATTTTGAAGGGAATAACCTTAACAGTGTTGTGGAAGAAAAGAATTATGGTGTTTTAGTTGTTCAATCTCTTAAGACAGTGCTGTTGCTAGTGGTAGGGCAAATAGGATTTTAAGTTGTATTTATAGAAAAACTTGATATAAGCTAAAAGAGTTCATCATTTTATTGTATAGGTCAATTGGTTAGGCTTCATTTGGATATTGTGTTTAGTTTTGGGATCCTTACCTACAAAAAGACAAAAATTGTTAGAAAGGGTTCAAAGAAGTTACTAGGATGGAAAGGTTGTCATATGAGAACAAATTAAGATTTCTGAAATTGCTTT